GGGCTTTTATTTCATTCTAAATAAATATTCACAGCTTAAAACCATTGATCAAAAATTTCTTTTAAAAGGACATAGTCACATGGAAGCTGACACCGTTCATGCACAAATAGAAAAACAGCGAAAAAAAACTCCTACAATGACAGTTGTAACTCCGTGGGATTGGCAGCAACTTATCCGTCACTGTTCCTCAAAATTTAAAGTAATAAACTTAGAATTGGCCGACTTTAAATCTTTTGATCCAATGTATACCGTTGCAAGGGGTTCTTCAAATGCTGCACCTTTCGTTGCTCGAAAAATTAATCGTAATAAACATCCGTTCCTATTGTCTAAAGTAGTTCACTTGCAGTATAGAAAAGACCAGTTAGGAATACTGTACTACAAAACATCATTTCAAGCAACGAATTTCGAGGAAGTAGATTTGAGAAGAAACACAAGAACCGAACTTACCTTACCGATGGATCTGGACCAAATAAATCAAAGGCTAGTGCCTATTTCAACAGCAAAATATAATGACCTCATGGATTTATTGCCTTTTGTACCATCGGAGTTTCACGAATACTATCGAAGCTTACCACATGCTCTAAATCGGAACGATTATCCAGAAGGAGATGTTGATCAATAAAATTTATTTAAGCTAATACGTACTTTAAAATTTTTAGTTCATGTTTATTTTACTTTCTGTTTTAACTTTTTTTAATCTTAATAAATTGAAATTAGTATATCTATATTCGTTTTACTTATTGTCAATAAGGACAGGTGACTTATTATAAAAATGTTTTCGGAAAAAAAAAATACAACTTAGAAGCATACTGTCCTAAGTCCATTTTTTTTGTAAAATTAGAATATTGCAAAAATTTGAAATTGGTGGATTATAATACTCTACCTGTACTATTAATTGCTTAGAAAAAACTGGTTATTCATTATTTATTTATATCTCTAATAATTCCAAATATTCACCGAAAACCGTTAATTCGTTCTCCTGTAAAATCGATAAATTGGACTTAGGACAGTTTGCTTCCGATATACAGATATATATATATATATATATATATATATATATATATATATATATATTATATATATATATATATATATATATATATATATATATCCATGGATGGAAAAAACAAGTTGGTTTTCGTGCCTGATGGAGGACGTGAAGGTTTAACGTTGGATCGTTATATCAGAGACATTTTGGAGAAAAATGCGATTCCATACGCGGGACCTATTAGTGATGCCTTTATTTTAATGAACGATGACATATTGCACGAATCACTACCACTTATTTGACTGAGATCTGTATACTTACAATAAATTGGCCTGCGTTGAGTTCGGACATAAATCCAACAGAGCATGTTTGCGATGAGCTTAAATGAAAGTTCTGGGACAGAAATCATGCGCCAAAGAGCATAACAAAAAATTTTTGTTTAAAATCCTTTATAAAAGGTATATAAAAATGCCCCAAACGGGCTATCACAAACACATTGCAAAAGGTTTTCGGATTAAACAATCCATCATCAGTGCAAACCTGAAAGTATATAACCACTTTAATTAAAAATAAGGTTAAATGAAAGTGTTGACAAAGGTTAGAGCAAAATGTGGTTAATACTTACGGTTGTACATGCTAGTAGCCACCAAAATATATGGGTAAAAAACCCTTTAAATGTTTTGAATTTGAAGTTGTTTTACATTATTAGTATTTATAATTTGTGATGTTTAAGTTACCGTTGGATAGGTAACATGGCGGCGTATGACTCTACATGAGTAAAATGGTCCTGAGACGAAGTGTCTACGAGGACCTGTTGATAACAACTGATCAAAATGACATTGTTGACATGTTAGGACGGATGTTGGATCAGAGCAGTCAGTGTAACTTACGGTAGTTGTCTAAAATTGACAGATGTCAGCCTTACTTAAAATTGAAACAGTTAAAATTATAATAATGTAACAGTATCAACCATCAATATTGTAATCTGTATTGTAAATTAATCAAATAGATATATTTTAAACATTGAAAATTGGTTTTTTAAAAATTAATGTAGGTCAACTGGAATTTATGAGATTTTGTAGGGTTGATAGGCAACCAACTATACATGTGTAAGGATCTATTTATTTTAAGCTAAAGATTTTGTCAAAAGGCCCTGTATGTTGTGAGACATTTGGTACCTAGAAAATGGTAAAAAGGCACATGTGGGAAGATGGGTCCTAAAAGATTTGTTATTGAGTATTGATGTAGTAGGTGGAGGTGTGTTAAGATATGTTGTTGAGCTGAAATGTAAATATGATAAGAATGTGATCATAATGTGGTGTTCGTGTAGTACTCAACTTAAAACTTAAGTATGGAAGGCCCTCTATGTCAAAAAACTACATTTGGTACCTAGTAAAGATAAATAAAAAATTTTTAAATTATAAGTAAGTGAACATGAATTACTGGTTATGTGTGTAAAGTAAAGATGGTAGGTTGTTTATGTGTGTGGGCAAGTATGCCAGACTGACAGAAAATTGATGGCTGAAAGATGGTTAGGTGTGATATTGTTCCTACATTGCTCAAGTTATAACTCAAGAAAACAAAAGGCCCTATATGTTAAAAGGAACATTTGGTGCCTAAGAAATATAAAAGTAAAAAAGGGATGAGTTATAAGTTAGAGTGTAGGTAGGTGAAAAGTTAATAGGCTTATGGAGTGTATTGTGACAATATGTGGAAATGTAAGAGTAGTTGTGTTTAAGGTGGATCTATCAAGTTTACTAAATATGTGTGATGTTTAAATGTTATTGTGAAGATGAAGGGGAAAACTACAAAAGACTGAAGACTCCAGAGACCCGAAAACCAAACCCTGAGGGAATTGGATGAGTAAAAAGAAGTTGTAAATGAAAATGAAAAACGCAGTATGAAAGGTGAAGATATGTGGTTAAGTGGGTGATGGTGCATATTAATGAAAATTGTTTTTGGAGAGGAAGTGGCATGATCTGCTCTGAATTTATTTCGTTGAGAAGGAGCATGGAGAATATTGGGTATTAGGTCAGATTTGACGTTTGGATGCCTAGACAGAAGTGAGGAAAGAAGTGGAGTTGGATATATTGAACAAAGTTTGAGGGGGCTAAGGATGATTAGTAGGTGATAAGAGAAGGATGAGAATTTAAATACTAATGAAGAAGTAAAGTTTGATAATGAGTTATGAGAATAATTGACGGTGGAGCGGAAGAAAGTCTCGATTAAATGAAACATGGCGATTGACATAATTTGGACTTCTCTGTTTTTCTTTAATGATTTCTAGGTCTTCATATAGGTCTAGTTTGAGAAAGTTTTTTTTGTGGGATGTTGTGAATAAGTGAGACGTCTTCTGGGATATTGAGATTGTGGTTGTGTTCTTTAAGGTGTTGAGAGAAAGTGGAAGTATTTTCTCTTTTTGTGTGCTCTAAAGAGCGTGAAGACAATGATCTACATGTTCTTCCTATGTAGGTAGCATCACAATCAGAACATTTTAATCTATACCCACCACTACGGTTCATATAGTTGATGGGGTCTTTCGAATTGGATATATACTGACCCAAGTTATTAGGTACTTTAAATGAAACATGAATATTTTCAACCGAACGTTTAATTAGATTTCTAATATCTCCAGAAAGACTCTCATGGTGATAAGGGAGTGAAACATAATTGAGCTTGGTGGTAGGATCCCTGGGGAACGCAGTCTCCTGCAAGTTCCTACGACGTTTTCTATAAATGAGTTTATTGATAATGTTATGATCATAACCGTTGTTGACTGCTATTTGTCTGATAATATTTAGTTCTTTTGTGTAGTTTGAATGAGAAAGTGGAATGGTTTCCAGGCGATGGATGTAACTGTGAAAAGCAGCATATTTATGAGACATGGGGTGGTTGGATGAGAAGGATATTACATGGTAATGTATAACATGAAAAGAGCATAACGTAATTGAGAGCTGCTCTTATTGATGGATGGGAAGTATTGTATCAAGAATTTATTAGAAAAGTCATCCGATCCATGCGAAATTGATTGGAAAATGTAATTAGGAGCAGGGGTGGTAATATCAAATTCTGAAAAATAAAGAAATTCATTTTGTAATTGGCGATTTGTCTGTTCATAACGTCTTTTTTGCGTTAGTTCCAATGATGAATATTTAGGAAACTCTGTTCATGTTGCATATTGTTTATATAATGTATATTCCAATTAATTCAACAGCAGTTTTGAGTCGATTTTTTTGCACTTAAGATCTATACACTATCGTATAAGAATCATTAACCCAGCTAAGAGCCATCTGTAGAAGTTTATGATTTGATTTATACATAATATTAATAGGTATCTATTAGAGCACTGTTAGTTTAAAACAAATTTTAAGGTTGAATGAGGAATTACTGAAAATACGAATTGTTTTTCCTTGAAAATAATATTGACATTAATAAATTGGCTAATAATATATTCTACTGATAATAACAGGATTGGAAATACTTTACTCTGGTTTTCATGTGCAGGTGGGAAATAGTTCTCAAACATTTTTGAAAACTATTTTCTGAAGCTATTTTTTAATGGCATTTTAATATTAACTTAATATTTTAATGTTTTCTATTATCCTAAAATGAACACAAATACTTCAACATTTAGCTTCGCAGTGGTTTTCAAAATAAAAATTTTGATCATCAAAAAGAAAGTATTATTTTCTCTTAATTTTTTAACAATTTTATTTTAGAAACAATTTTCGAGCTAGTAGTCAAAAGGTCAATAAATTTTACAATATTGCAATTGTGGTTATTCCAGTGCACGTAATAACACAAAAATAAAATGCCAGAAGAAAATAGCTTTAAAACCATATAGATATTATAATTAAAAAAAAAAGAAAATGAAAATTACGCTTAATTATAGGTCATAAAAATAACTATATACTCGTATACTAATAACAGGTGTCAAGCACGTAAATATTTGGTCAAAATAGATATAAAAAATAAAATAAAAAACTTTTATAAGGTATATAATAAAAGTTACCTTTGTATATTCTCTTCCTCCTGAATATTATTTAACATATTTTGCACAATATTTTCTTTTACGTTTTGAAAGTCTTTGGAATCTTCTATAACGCCCGCAATTTCCATTTTAGAAGAAATGCGATAAAGATCTAATGCAACAAATTTTATATAAAATTTGTCTTTAATTTACTAACGACACAATAACGTTTTTCAGTGAAAGTTTGTTTGAACTTTTTGAAAAAGAACTGAACAAATGCCAAACGCGAGACTGAGTCATGGAATGCCGCGATTTACCTGAGTTTTAAAGTATAATCAAAGTAAGCGGGACCTGCGCATAGAACCCCAAGCGACAAACGGCAAATGAGCGTGGCATTCCGCAATATTTGTGTAAATAGTCGAATTCCAATCGTGACTTTCAGCTGAAAGCTTTCCAAGCGAACAGATGTTACGGGTTGCCAAGTCGTACAGGAATCATTGTTATATCTAATTTTAATACGTCCTACCTATAACTTAGGTAGTTTTAAACTTCTGGTCTATTTTAAGATAGGTTAGGTAAATTTTAGGTATCTTTTTGCCGTCTTCTATTAAAGGTTGGTGATTATTATGTCAAATATATTTCTAGCAAATATATACTTGCAGATCTAAGAAGACCTGCAATTCATGACAATGCGATTAGTACAGGAATACTAGCGATATAAACTAAATACAATACATTCAACCAACTTACACCTCTAAACGATTAATGGAATTCCCAGAAAACCTTTCGTTGTAGTAAAAGTGACGGTAAACTGCATTGAAGTTCTCCATAATTATTGTTTATTTGGCTAATAATAAATCTATAAATATAATGGTTAACCTGATGTACAATTATTTTGTAAATAACATTATAATAGTATACTTACTGATTATTTAAATTAATAAATCATCATTATATAAATCTATATACCAGCAAAACTACAAATAAAGAGGTACTGGAAATAATGAACACACGACCTCATCTGGTTAATACAATCAAAATTAGAAAGACGTCATATCTAGGACACATAATGCGCCATAAGGAATTTGAGCAGCTCCAGGTAATATTAGAAGGCAAAATTGAGGGTAAAAGGGGTATAGGAAGAAAGAAGAAATCCTATCTCTGAAACATCAGAGATTGGACTCACACTACAGGAAATGACCTAATCCATCAAGCCCAGAACAGAGAGAAATTTGCCATATTGATCGCCAACCTCAATAGAGACGGTACTTAGGAGGAGGATATAAATTTATAATCACTGGATTAATTTCACTAATTTAATATTATTTATTTTTTTTTATTTTTCTGGATCCACCACTATTATATTAATTTTTCACTTTACATTTATTTACAGTTTTGGCCCATATATCTGGAGTTTCAGTTTTAAGAGATTCTTGCCACATTTCATTCAATCCCTAATGCAACGCGATTATCATAATACGTTTTACATATACCCCAGATATGTTCAATGGGATTAAACTGGCAGTGATACGACAATAACCGTAGTACTTGATGTCCATAACTTGATACAGTATGGTCAACTATATAAACTGTTGGGTTTTCATTACGTTTCGAAATTTGCAGCATCTCTGATTTGAAGGCGTATTCCGGAAAATTAATATTATTTTTAACTACCTAACTTTTTATGCGTGGTATTGCCCGCGTCTATTAAAGTTGTTTCTCCAAAATCCCCGAATGGTAAGGTGCATTATCTAAAACTATAACTGATGGTTAACTCAGACTAGGCAACAGTTTCTGCTCAAGCCATTTAACAAACATATCTGCATTCATGTTTTCATGGTAATAAGCAGATTTTGAAGAAAAAATCAAATTTGCGTTTTTCTATAAAGCCTTATTTCCATTCTGCCTGAACATGATGTGTCTTTTGCCTTAGTTATCTGTGTGTTTTACTGATTTCATACTGTTGTCTTGTCAAATTCTTTTAATTTCACCCATTGCAAATATCCATGTCTCATCTAATCATACGAATGTTGCATTTTCAGATCTAAGTCTAGTATATTCTCTCAAAAATTTAATTTTTTTATGAACCACACTACTTCTTTCGCATCTTTTCATTGACTTTGAGAGTGCCTATGATAGCATCCATCGAGAATTTATGATCTATGCACTGAAATAGTTTATTATTCTAACTCAACTCATTGATATAGTAAAAGAAACACTTAAAGTACAAAGCAAAATTCGAATTCAAAACGAACTAACAGATACAATCTATGTGAGAACGAGCCTACAACAGGGAACTGCCCTATCCTGTATTCTATTTAACATCACATTAGAGAAAATAATTAGGGAGTTAAACACCAGAAGAACAATAATAAAAAAAGTGTACAAATATTGGCATTTGCAGATTATGTTGATATCATAGCTAGAAGCTAAAGAGAGATGATCGAAGAATTTAATGCGATAGAAAGAGCGGTACAAACAGTGGCCTAAACATTAACGAAATAAAAACTAAATAAATGAAGGCCAGTGAATCGACAGGCCAAAGAAACCTACAGAATCTGACAATAGGAGACTATAACATCGAACGCGTGAAAAATTTTACATATCTAGGTTTAATAGTTAAAGCAGATAACAATGTCAGTGAAGAAGTTAATAAAAGAATACATATCGCTAATAAAACATATAATGGTCTAAGTAAACATCTAAGACCTAACAACATCACAAGAAAAACCAATTGCAAAATATACAAGACCCTGATAAAACCGGTCCTTGTATATGAATTAGAGACATGGACACTGTCGAAAAGCGATGAGAACCTATTAGGTAAATTTGAACGAAAAATCCTTAGACACATATATAAGGGAGTAAAGGAAGATGACATATGGTGCAGAAGATATAACTTTGAACTATACACAGCATACAATGAACCCGAGTTCATAACATCCATAAAGATCACACGTCTGCGCTGGATGGGCCATGTTGAACGAATGTTGGAGACTGAAATACCAAAACATATAATAAGGCAAACACTTGTAGGGAGAAGGTCCAGAGAAGGAAGAAGGGAAGACCCAAACTTAGATACATGGAACAAGTGGAACAAGATTTGAAAACACGTAAGATTAACAACCTGAAAAACAAAACAAGGAATAGAACAGAATGACGGAAAATCCTAGAACAAGCCACGACCCAGAAAGGGTTGTCGAGCTACTGATGATGATCATGACTACTTCTTTCGCATAAAAGTAACCTATTATTTTCTTTTTTGATTTTAAATCCTAAATCTCTTAACACTTTCCAAAGACTAGTTCTATTAATTTTAATAACTTGTCTTTTCTCTTATTTTTCCCAGTCAAGTATCTAAACTGACATGTTGATTGTTTTCACACATTCAATACAAAATATTGCAATCATTTTTTTCTTCATCAGATAATGCTCCTAGAATGTTTACGAGTTGTTTGCTTATCTTCATGATACTCAGTGACAGTAAGATCTTCTTGAGAATCTCTGACAGTCTTCATTAATTAGAGTTTTTTGCTTACTTTAGCTTATTCCAAGTGTGTTACAAACGCGTTGATTTATACATAGTAATGACTTTAACGGTCCACCATTGTCTCTTTCGATGGTAAAGTATTTACGCACATTTGCAATTAATTGATCAATATCCAACTTATGTCTAGGCATGATGGTCACTTGAAACTACACGTTTCAACCGCTTGTCTACGGTGATAAAACTACAGGTAAATAATATGCAAGACCGCGAATGGCGTGCTGCGACCTCTAGTCTTGATTATTATAACGGTAGTGCTTTTTGGTCCAAATTTAAAATCATAACTAAATAAAGAACCAACAACCCCTCTCCCCTTGTGGTAAATAATTAATCAATAGTTTCGATCAATAAAAGGCCTTCAAAAATCGTTTACGAAATATACTTATCACCCCCAACAACTATAGATTTGACCATGCCCTTCGAGTAAATACCGAGAGAGACATGGAAAGACGACTCGCCAAGCCTTTCGATCCATAGGAACAGCATGAACATCCAGTCGTGACACCTGTGGATCAACAAATATTCAAACATTTCTGCCAAATCGGCAGGTCAAATTCACCAGAGCCTGACAACATTGTCAGGAACTGCGTGAAGAACCTTCTGCTGAGCGTTATACTCTACCTGACAAACGATGTCACTGCCACTCTCAGACTCTACTATTTTTCATCACCATGGAAGGTAGCAAAGACAATTATGCTCTTGAAAAAGGGAAAACCCAAGAACAATCTAAACTAAGGTCTTCGAGAGAATCCTTAAGGAAAGACTCGTCGACTTTACCACAGAACACATCATCCCTACTTTTCAATTCGGCTTTAGAGAAGGTCACTTCACCACAACGGCGCTAATAGAAATCATCACACATCTTACACTAAGTCTAAACGACCGCATATTTCAAACACAAGAAATACAGAGGCGAATAAGCATAACATGGGCAGCATTTGGCAAATTAAGCCATATTCTAAGAAGTTCAATTCCCATGTGTCCAAGCGAAAGGTTTATAACCAATGTGTTTTGCCTGTACAAACTTATGGAGAAGAGACTTTAACACTCACGCAAAAATCTGCGAATAAACTCAGAGTTACACAACGAGCCATGGAACGTGCAATGCTGAATGTGAGCCTTCGAGACCACATAACAAACCAACAAATCAGGCAAAGATCAGGAGTTCAAGACGTCATCGAAAGAACCCACGACGCCTAAGTGGAACTGGGCAGGCACTTAGCCAGAACATAAGATGGACGGTGGACAAGACGTATTATGAAATAGAGGCCCAGAAACTATAAAAGAAGACAAGGACGACCACCGACCAGATGGACCGGTGATATAAAACGTGTAGCGGAAGACTGGTTACAAGCTGAAAGTCCCCTGGACAGCGCATGTGAGCAACGAGCAGGTCCTACACAAGATGGGTACCGACAGAGAACTCTTAAAAATAATGAAAACACGGAAAACCTCATATTTGGGACACATATACAGAAATGAGAAATACCAGCTACTGCAGCTTCTTATAGAGGGGAATGTAGAAGGAAAACCTGGTCCTGGTAGACGGCAGGCGTCCTGGTTGAAGAACATTCGTGAGTGGACTGGTTTGGATTCTCAATC